TAAAATGAAAATACTTGCTAAAGACTGAAAGAAAAACTTCTGTCAAAATCTTCGAACACTTGCTAGGTGTCAATTCAGACATTGTGAATCATTGCTAAAATCAATTCAGAAAATGAGGGAGAGCAGGAATGAAAATTCTAGAATCCCCAGAAAGGCACCAAGAACTGTGTGGAAGGGATAGAGTGAAAGATTTTGAAGCAAAAAGAAAAAGGGAAACTAAAAACACAGAAGTTCTAGTTTGGGCCGTTTTGTAATTGCACATATGGCTCACTACTGATTGCTGAATGTTTGCTACTTTTCCTACACAATATATTCAGAAATATTACTGTTACCTTCACTGTTACAACCACCATTATCACTTGCCTGGATTACCATAGTTTCCTAAGATCTCATTCTCTTAGCAGATCCTTAACAAAAGCAATCAGATAAATAAGATTGAACCAGTTATCTATTTAAATCTGTCAAATGAATATCAAAGACTTAGAAGTAGCCTACAAGACCCCACAAGACTAAGCTCAAAGTCACATCTTTCTCTGACAATCTCACTTCCCTTCACACCAGTTATCACACTGCCCCACTCTCCTCCTCCCTGCATCTGCTATTTGTAGCTTCCAATCCCTTCTCTTAAGGAGTATAATTGGATGCCACCTCACTGGATGCCATCTTCTCCAAAAAAAAAAAAAAAATTATTTTCACTGCCCAATATAAACTTGTGACACCATTTCTCATTCTGCTATACTTTTCTGCAAACTACTTATCACCTTATAATACAGAAAATTTACTTTGAAAATGGGGATATGATGTTGTTGATTGCTTCGCTTCCTTCTTTGAGTGGGCTTTTTGCATATTTTATTTGTTACATAAGCCTCATTGATTTGGAAAGTGCCTTGTACATAATACAGTATACACTTATTGAATGAGCAAATGAATGCATGAGTTATTGAACCCAGATTAGCTATCTTAGCTCATGGAGCTATATTCATATTGCCATATCCAAGATTACATGCAGATCAGCTGAAATGGAGAGTCACACAGAGACTCTTACCACCAAGTTGCCAATGTGACATATTTTGTATTGTTTTGATGTCTAAGAAATGAAAAGTTCATGAATAAAGCACTGATAATAAAGGTTCATGAAATGCTCCCAACAGATTCTCTAAACAAACTATGTCCAAAAGCTTCAAGGCCTGGACAAGCATGCCTGCCATGTTTTGCAGGGGGGGAAGAGGATAGGGGAGGGGGCTGAAGGAGGTTGTGCATACTTAGATAAGAACTTCAGAGCATCTTCAGTGACTGGTATATTGCATGTAATGGCCACCCCAAATTCTCAGATAGCACTCCATGGTAACTCACTAGGAGAAAATTTTAAATGATTTTATAAATAAAGGCGGAATATATCAGGATCCCAAATGCAACCCTGTGTATTAATTTTGTGATATTTAGGCTTTTCCAGGTGGGAAATATGTCTCAGAGAAGATAGTGATCAAAGATAGCCTAGCAACATTCAGGCAGATGCCATCTTATCTAGGGTCATGATGATAATATGAAATCATTTTTTGAACTACATCTGAAATTAAAACATATCAATTATATCAAACAAATACAAAGAGATTCAGAAATCTGAAATTCTAGCTATGGAAAAGAAACATCAAACACATTTTATACCTGAGTTTTGAGCTAGACATACTCTCGCTGTTTCATTTTATTTCAATATCAAAAGACAGTAGGGCCCTGTCTTTGAACTACTATCTTTCAAGCATTTATGTTTTAATTTGATGACCATCTGTATTCTAGGACCTCATTCCTTTTGGGATCTGGCACTGAGAGAAGCTGATCTAAATCTGAAGTTCTTTGACTTCAAAAAGAGCCCTGTGCTTGGATTAGCAACATACTGGAAGAAGCAAGTCAAGAAACAATCCATAAAAGCATCTAAATCTTTGATACCACTAAGCTTTTGTCTATTTCCTCCTATCAATCCATAAAATAAAACTTAGCAATGTAAATAAAACTAGTCAAACATCAAAGGAAACTAGTATACCATCAATTCCAGCATCAATTTAATGAATTTTTATACTAAAATCACAATCCTTGCAAATAGTAGTCTGCAATAAATAAAACATAGGCTGACATTTACCTGAGCAATAACTGAGATAATAGCATGAAAAAAGAGGGAAATGAATATGACAAAGAACAGCATGTCTCAGCGCAGCTATTTTTGTAGGCATTATCATAAATTTTGTCCACTGTAAGAAAAATTTTTCTATTCAAAGGGACAGGTAAAAATAGATAAATTATAATCATATTTCATATTTTCATGATCATTAAATATATAATGCATTTCTATAGCTGTCTAAAGGATATCTAAGCTAGCATTTTACTAACTTGAAAATAAAGAAATAATATAATAAAGAAAAACTGACATTTTTTCAATATTAGCAGCAGTGAGTAAGCTGGAGAAGAATAGGTCTTCAACAAACAGAACTTGACTTCATCAAACACCCTTGGGCTCCCTTTTTCCAGCACTCAAAAAAAATAGATCAAAACATGAACAAAGCAGATTAAATCACAAACAGAAACATTTTAAAGGCGTCTCTGACATAAAATCACTTTCACAAGGTAATGAATGATATAAGTGTATGGCAGAATGATTTTTAAACTTGTTATTAACTTCAAAAAATGAAAATATTTGGGTCATTTTTTAATATGTCATAAAAGATTTCCATAACCACACATAGGCATTAAAATGATGATGACCAGAACATTTTACCTCCAATATAGAGGATTTTCGAATTTACAAATATCAAAAATGTTTAGATTTTTCTCTAACATTTGCTTTGGAAGTTTAAAATACAAGGACTTAACAATCTCTAAAAAGCTACATTTTTTAATGACCCAAACATCATATAAATTGAGAATTTTGGTAATTATTACGAGAATAATATTTCTCTCCTTGATAAGAATTATTAAATAAGGGTTAAAGTGATCATATGAGTAATTACTTTGCAGCAATAAATCATAGTAACAAAGAACATGGCTTCAAGAAATCAAACACTTGAATTAATATAAATGTCAGCTCTGGCAATACATGATAGATGACCTATTCGTTGAGTTTAAATTTCTTGGTGTTTCAAATGGATATAGTAATATTATCAAACTATGTGGTCATAGAAATTAAATGAAAAAATAATTTAATTTTAAACTATTTTGTTATAACTATTTTTATAATTCACAGTGATCATTTGCTAGATATCTGTGACTTTGTCATTACTGTCATCACAACTTGATAAGGCCAATGTATGTCTCCACATGTAGTTCTCTAGGATCTTGTAAATATTTGGTCAAGTTGCTTACCATTTCTGAAATTATGGCTTCCCTCACTATATTACAAAATAATATTCTACTACACTGAACTTAGCCAATAATTATCTAATGATGTATGAAACACTATGTTGATATTGCCTTATACTTATTTTCTAGCATTATCAGAAATTTAATAGCACTAGACAATTTCTCCACATTATGTGTATTTGTTTCTGCTAAATAAATTAGTTTTTTTTTTAAAAATTATTTATTTATTTATGCATACAGAATTGGGGTACAGGACAAAGGTTCAGTGGCAGTGAGAGGATTCACCAGAGACAGCCCGAGGTACAGAATAGGCAGATCAACAAAGAACACTGCTGAGGGGAGCAGCAGGCCAGTCAGGAGAGGTCTGCCACACCAATGTGAGTCACCTCTGGGGCTGGGATATAACTCATGCTGAAGTGGCTTTAGCTTCTTAGTGCTGTGCTTTAACCTGCTGTGCCACCAGGGAAGGCCTCAAATAAAATTACTTTTAAGGCAAAGGACACAGAAAATTTTCGAATTGGGTTAGCCATTTTATACTAATCATGTCTGCTGTACTTTCAGTACAGGATATATTAATGGATGTTAAAACAATCCCAAAAGCCTAAGAGACAATAGGTATTTGATGCAAGCAAGCATTTACAGTTGAATTGTATTACACGTCATTAACAAGACTGTGTGGGTTATTTTATGTTACCCATCTTAAGTTCATGATCCGAACATGACCGAGTTGATCAGTCTCCATGGTGTTTGGAAGCTCTAAAAGTCTGTTTATTCAATACACTATACTGAAAATTCCCACCCCTTCCTAATAGAATCACTTTCATAATTTTATTTTATTTATACAAGAATTATCAAATTCTGGGTGTAATAGGTCCATATCCTGAATTACTTGAGAATAGTTTGGAAGTCAACATTCTCCAGGATAGTTTCCTTTTCTCAAGACAAATGAATTCTCTAGGCCACTCTTTCAAATGTTTCTCTTCTATTGCTAAAATAAATGCCTCTTTTGCATTAACATAAATGCTGGTTTCACATTCTTGCTCAGTGGGTGGCTTCAGAACATTTAAAAGCCAACACTTCTACTCTCTTAATTCTATTTTCTGATACACAGCTGTTAACCCTTTCTGTACTTCATAATTACTAAGTATTTAGTGTTTACAATAAACCAAATAATTTTCACAAATTTGTATTTTTTTGTGTAATATGTATACAAGCCAAATTGATATTGGCTTAGTTCATGGTATGGGGAGCAATAAAGAGGTCATCATTATAAAAGGGAAGGAAATAATAATAAATAAATGCAGGCAAAGGAAATAGAAAATTTTTGAATTGGGTTGGCCAAGACCAAGATAATATTCCATTTTATACTAATCTTGTCTGCTATACTTTCAGCACAGGATATACTGAAGGATATTAGGGTCTATATTAAATAATAAAAGACGTGCCTTATTCCCAAATCTAAACTAGCTGCCTAGGATGCATGGTCATCCTAGGTTTAATTCATCTCCAAACAAACCAAATCCTAACCCCTTGTATTTTTTTTTCTCCTTTGTAGAAGCAGAATGAATATCACAAATATTGATTTTTCCCCTAGGAAAAAATATTCCTCCAAATTTCAAAATAAGCATGCATCATGCAAAAAAAAAAAATACCTTAGGTTTCTTATTTTCAGGGTCTGTTGACAGGGACAATGTATAAGGTGAAATCAGCTCCTTGGATCTTGAGAGAGAGATGGGAGGTGATGGGGTTGTAATGGTTGACCTGTGGTTAGCTACTGAGCTTTCAGATTCCTCAGGTCTTGAAGGAAAACTACCATTGCCACAATTTGGGTACAGTGCTGAGGGATTGAGCTGCGGCACCTGGATAGGTTGATTAGCACAAGAGAGAGAAGACCCCAAGTTGTGAAGTGAAGCAAAACTAGCACTGGCGACAGGGGGTGAAGGAAGAATTGAAGGAGTCTGTCTCTGGCCAAATAGCGGCGGTGATGTTCTCTTGGATCTGTTTATGAGATTTGAAAGAATTGGGGAAGGATGGTAACTTTTTTCTGGAGAGGAATTCATGGCTCCTTGGTTAGTGGGAGGAGGTACAGAAGGTAATTCAGAGGCTGATGTAGAAGGATGCATGGAAGCATTCTTGCTTTTTCCTGGACCTGGGAGTTCAGCATCTTGTTTTCCCTTTGAAGAAAGAGAAGAAAAGCTTGGTGCAATAGGGGCAAGACCTGCAGGACTCGATGGATCTGTTTGAGGCAGGGGTAGTGTTGGACTGCTCTTCAGAGGAGTGGATGACAGAATTTTCTCTACATTTGAAGTAATAGGGCTGTCAGTGGCTTGTTTCGTGGTAGTATATTCAAGTACCTGAGAAAAGGGAGCAGATTTGGTGAAAAGGGGTAAGTGAAAGGGTTGTTGGCTATGTTCAGAAAACTGATTTTCTTCTTGCTCTGGAGATCTGGCTCTCAGGGAACAACTTGAGAGGGATTTTTTGGGTGTGTGGAGGGTTTGCTTTGTTTTTTGATCAAGTGTGAGTGTGGAAGAAGCCAGGGAGTTGAGAGAGAATGTGGGACAGGATGCAGGAGAAAAGGGCCTTTGGTGAGAAGGGTTGGACTTGAGGATGGCAGTGAGAAGGGAAAGACGGGAGGGCACCTGGGATTTCACCCCAGACTTTGAGAGACTTCCAGTAGATGACATTTGGCTACAGATAGTGGAAGAAGAGCCATGGAAAGAGGAGGGAAATGGCTTTGGACTTGGAGAAAGTGAATGCATGACAATACGAACTGGTATGTACAAGGCTGAATTGGACTTGAGAGAAGCACTGGATGGTGAAGGAGAAGAAGAGGTTCTAGGACTCTCTCTGGAGCTAAGGAGATGTGAAGTTAAATCTGTTGATTTCTTCAGAACTTCAGACTTCAATCCAGGATTTTGATCTGCTGTATTTGAACTGGGTAAATTAGAGCCTGATAACTGTGTAGAGTGGGGAAACGGTGACGATGTGGAGGTGCCCTTCAATGCAAAATAAGGTGAAGAGTGAGCAGAAGTTTGAAAATACGTAGCTGTTTCTTCTACCAGGGCCCCACTGACATCCAGCCTCCTAGTGTGGAACTCCTCTAGGACAGAGGCTCCGTCGAGGTTAACTGGGTCAGGTGGTGTTTTCAGATTAGTTGAAGAAACAAAGGAGAAAGCAGGTGCTTTACAGGCAAGCTGCTCAGAGGTAGTGGGAGAAGTTGACTAGAGGAAAGAAAAATAGACAGATTTAATAGGACATTATTTATGAAATTATCAATCTATTCTTGTCAATGGTGTGGTTATGTTAAAGCACAATTTGTACAAAAGGAGGCATCTTACATTGCCACAAAATGAAAGGATCCCTGCTCTGCTAATCACAGCTTTGAATTTGAAATAAAATATGAAGGTTTTATAAATTATGAAGGACTATATACTATGCCTTATATATTTCACAGAATGAAAGACAATGTAAATTTTATATTCGTGTTTCCATTTGGAAAATAATTCATTGATGAAATCTAAAATAGTTACCTTAATCTAGAATTGTGTAATTACAAAAGATTCAAATCATCAACAATATATATTTCAAAACTCACTTTAAAAAACAGATTTTTGTTGTTGTGGTAAGAATACAAACAATATAACAATAATGACCACAATCCTTTAAAACTATAAAAAACTTCAAGTTTTTATAATCCTAGACCTTTGGATTGCACCTACATATTTTCAAAGTAAAAAAAAAAAAAAAAAATGCCCAGACTTCAAAAGACACAGGGCCCAGCAATATAACATAATATACATGGTGAAATTGAGATAGTGAAAGCAAAGTCCAATATATAGATTCTTAGTTTACCAAATACTTTCCTGAGAACTTGCCAGAATGAACATTTAAATAGTGGTTTATGTTATCCTGGGAGAATTAGGTAATTTCTTATTTCAAAAGAAGCCAAATGTCATGTGCCTGAAATGATGCAACCCACCAATCCCACATCAAATAAAAAGAAAATAAATTATAATACATTATTGCCCATAAGAGACTAAGGAAAACCTGTGAAATAACAGGGTGTATGCATTCTCGTGCTATTTTAAAAATTATCTGGCACTTTAAACAAATACTGTAATTATGGTTCCAGAACCAAATCTTTTAAACAGATACTCTTCAAAATTATTTATTTGACTATATCTGTCCACAAGAGGAAAATACTTGAGTCCAGAAAAGAATTTAGGGAATATGAGCTATCCAAAATATTAATGATGTATATTATTAATAACTTAAATTGGCCCTCCCTGGTGGCGCAACAGGTTAAAGTGCAACACTGCAAAGCTGGCCATGGCTGCTTCGGCACAAGTTTGATCCCCACCTGGAGGTGATCCACATGGTGCAACAGACCTCTCCTGTCTTGCCCACTGCTCCCCTCAGCAGTGTATTTCAGTAGATCTGCCTGTTCTGCTCCCCACTTTAACTCTGATGAATCCTCTCACTGCCTCTGCACCTCTGGCCTATATCCCAGTTCTGTATGCATAAATAAATAAATCTTTAAAAAAAATTAAATATATTACATGTATTTATTGTATGTTGATATATATATAATATATCCAGCACATTCCATAGCAGAGAAAATGTATATGAACATATCAATTAAACACAACAAAAACTTGATTTCAAAGGCATTAATAGATATTTCTTGATTTTGCTTTAAAACATGCTAAGATGTCCATAAGACACAATGTCAGATTTTCATCTTACATAGCTTTGAGTTCTAAAAATACTTGAAGCTAATCAATTTAAACAACTCATCCATACTTCTATGTTTCTGAGTAAACATACCTAAACTAGACCTTTCTTTCTATATCTAGAAATTTCAGCACAGAAATTAATTAATTTCAGCACAGAATTCTTGCCATATAAGTAATATTTGAAACCACTGGCATAAACCACAATACCCAAAAATCAGGGATAACTTAAAATTAAACAGAATTGAATCAAATTGAATTTGAAATCTTAACAATTCCCTTGTTTTTAAGTTTTACTTAGAAACTGTTCTGTTTAGCTAATGTTATATGACTAATGCACCTAATTAATCATAAGTGAAAGATCTTCTCTAATTGTTTGTAATGTCTAGTCCTTCCTCTCAGAAGGAATAAAGAAATTTCAAGACCATACATGGTATATTTGCATTTTATACATATGCTGCTTGATAAAGAATATTGTAAATTTATAATAAAAGCAATAAAAACACCATTACATTTTCAGTCCTGTTGTTTCTGAATAATTTCAATTTACATGAGAGATACTAACTCTTTCTAATTATCTACAAAATTATCATTGTTAAACTCTGCAATTTTAGAGCATAAAAGTATGCCCTCCAACTTTCTCAAGGTTATGACTGCTAGTTACAAATACTAGACTACATTAAGATATATTTTATGCAACATTAGTACTTCAGAATTTTATTTTAATAATTGTTTACTGGAGAACTTCTAAAAGATTGAGTGCTTACTGTTTATATTAACCTACATATAATTTTATGCTATTTTCCTATGTACTAAATTAATAAGTATTTTCAATAATTTCATTTTAATTGTTATATATGCAGACAGTGTATTAATTTATACTAATATGAAAATATGGCACCATATTTTTAGAAAATTCCTAGGAGCGAAGAATACATTTTTTATAAAAAAAGATTGATTTTCCTAAGTTCTTCTCATTGAGAAGTTTTGTTTTTTGTTTTTGTTTTTGTTTTTTTCTAAAGAGGGGCTAAAGACGTGAATAACCTGAAGAAGGAACACAGAATGAATATCTGTCAAGTGCTTAGTCAAGTAGCTCAGAAAAGTCCTTCATTGAACAAGGGATTTTTTCTATAAATCCCTTGCCTATGATAATAAATTTATCTTTTGCTGGCTACAAAATATTTCCATTCCTTCATCTTCTTTCATTAACAATGCCTATGCTGTTCTCAAACCTATTCTCTGTCTTCTCCACCTCTTACCTCATCCTTTTAGAATCCTTTGCTTCACACACCTCTGGTGAGCTGCTTTCCAATCCCTAGATCTCTTTTGCATCCATGACCACCTTAACACATTCCTCTGAGTCATTCTCAAATATCTCTACTCCTAAAAACAAATATTGACCTCTGGAATATATTCACAATAATCTCAGTAAAAGGGGATGTTTGTCATGGGTTATTTGCTCATGTGGATGATCTTAGTTATAAATTCACCCTTGGATCCTGTATAATAGAGGCCATCAGTTACTTTAATAACCAATCTCATTGCAGAGCTGTCTTGTCAATCTAAATTTAACTGCTCCTCTAGATGTTCAATTTTCCTTAGTGTGTCTGAAATTCAAAAGCAACTCAACAGAAGTCAAAGTAATAAATATGCTACCACATGTTGTGAGTATTCCCCAAGATTTGGATGGTATTGCTTTGTCATTGTATTCTTCCTCCTAAATCTACACAGCTACACAGAGCAGAAACTCTAGATTCTCCTGTGCCTTTGCATACACTCATTACACAGCAGCAATGTGGTCCCTTAAACTTACCTATTGATCAGTACTCTTCAATACACACTCATCATATCACAGGGAAGGTTCTTGTCTTTTCTCACCTGAATGCATTCTGCTATTCCTACCTCTAGTTATAGACCATCTAAACTTTCATCAAATTGACCTTTTCAAGTCTGATCAAAGTATACCCATGTTCCATATTTACTCCATGAGTACCCTGAACTGAAGCTCATTCTTCATTCAAGAGCCCCTCTGTTGCTATTTAATCTCATTTCCTTCATCCCCTGCTATATGGTATCTTAGGTTTTAATTATACTTTGTTCGGTCTCAACCTTCTTATTAATATTATCAACATTCTTGCCATTTTGGACTTCTGCCACTGCACTTGGCAAATCTTCATTCTTAAATCAAAGCTACCAACTGCCACTGTGCTCCTAGAGCAAGTCCCCGTAATGTTGCTATAAAAAAAAAAAAAATAACACAAACCTGATGTGACTGGCAGGGTCACTGCACTTGATTTACAGAGATTTGTCCTATGCAAGGTTTTAAGCTGAGAGTGGCATATAACGTGCCAGCTTCTATGCAGAAAGAACACCTTTCTCTGACTCAAGTAGCAACTGGGTAAGAAATTATAGATCAGTGTCAATCAAAAGTTTAGGGTTTGGAGTCTCAACGGGGTCTCAGCTTTTGGTTGGTTGGTTGTGTTTTTTTTCTCTCCTCTCTTTTTTTCCCTCTTTTTATTTGACCTTTATTTTTGGAACCATCTGAACTTGTAACTTTATAAAATAATAGATTTTTAATACTATGCTTAGTTATTTTATGATTATTGGGCTGCCTCCACTGAGAACTTAGACTTGAGATTAAAGACTACAATATAACCTTGGCATACTTCTAAAACTAAAAGTTATATTAAATAAAAACTCTAGAGCTAATAGCCACCTATGGAAAGTAACAGTCATTTAGTCCTAATAATACACTAGATACTATTATACATTACATGTTTACTTTTATTCACATGGTAGAAACTCTATAAGATAGTTGTTCTTAGTCCTGCTTTATATACTCTTTTATTTTAAGCAAATTTGCATGTTTTGCTATTAGTTTACATAGCTACATAATTTTGGGAGTACAGCTTCACATCCTCCCACAATACAGTGATGTAGCCAAAATGTTCTCCCTTTTGTTCTGAACAATAGTTCTTCTGGAAACTTAACACTCTCCACATATACCATCTACTCATCACTTTCCTCATTGTACTCAACAGACAACCTAGATTCTTTTTCTCCAATGCAAGTTTTGATTGCCAGGAAACCAAATTTTTCTCAATCTAACTTCAATTGTGTTTTGAAAGAAATATTTTCCTAAGAAAATGATGCTTTTTACTTTTTTAATTGTAACATTTTTCATGTACTTTGAATTTTATTCCATCAGTTCTCCCTCATATCCTATGTACCCATCATTTTTCTATTTCTTTCTATTGTTCTCATTCCAACATAAATATAAATTAAATTAAGCTTTAAAAATATATCAATAAATGTTCCAACATCCCTAGCATATGTCTGAAACCACAGGGTGTACCAGAACATATATAGTACTTTTCATACACACATGTACTTATGATAAAGTTTAATTTATAATTGCATACTAAAATAAAAGATGATCAATAATAATAATAATAGAACAATTACAATAATATACTGCAATAAAAGTTATGTGAACGTGGTCTCTCTTAAAATATATTATTGTATGTAACTGAAACTGTGGAAAGCAAAATCAAGGAGGGACCTATGTATAAAACAAGCAGCAATGGCTTGAAAGCTCTTGTGCACAGGAGCTTATTGACTAGCTTGGTGCAGAACATTGCATGAGCCTGGACATGTCTACTAGAGGATGCCCGGCCACATCACAACTAACCAGACACCAGACAGCTAACTAGTTAACAACCCAGTAACCAAATGCAGGCGCACAAGTGAATCTGCAAAGATCAACTGGGCCTCTCCCAGATTTGTAGAAGCACCCAGCTGAACTCAGGCAAATTTCTGAGTCAAATAAATGGTTGTCATTTCAAAATACAAAGTTTGGGCATGGGTTGTTAAACGGCAAGAGCTAGCTGATGAAAACATGTGCATGTGCATATATCAACATGTCAGGAGATCCTGATTTTCCCTGGGCAAAGCCTGGGCTGTTCTCCTCTGTCACATCTGTTCTATACAGTTCCTTTATTGATCTCCTCACTTGTTGTGTGTGGCCCACACACCATAAGGTGACTTCCCAAAGCATTACACCCTTGGATACACCCCTCTTCATACATGACTTGTTTGCAATGGAAGCTGAGGTAGAGGAAAGGGTTTTGCAGATGTGATTGAGGCACCTAATCAGGTGACTTTAAGTTCACTAAACAGGTATAAATAAAATATGCAGACATCTAACAGGCAAGCACCTGATCAAGTTAGCTCTTTAAAAGAGAACCAAAGAGTTCAACAAAGTAGTAGTGACTCCTTTTGTCTATAACTGGCTTTAAGAAGCAAGCTGCCATGAATTCTATAGCTCAAACATTGAATTCTGCTTATAACCCTGAGGACCTTACAAACAGATCCTGCCCTAGTAGATGAGAATGCAAACTAACTGACAATCTTGTCTTCAATCTGTAAGACCCTGTGCAAAGATTCTGACAGCTATCCCAAGACCTCTGCCCCATAGAAACCAAAAGAAAACAAATAGGCATTTTTTTTTTAAAGATTTATTTGTGCATACAGAACTAGGGTACAGGCCAGAGGCTCAGGGGCAGTGAGAGGTCTCACCAGAGACAGAGTGGGGAGCAGAACAGGCAGATCAACAAGGTACACTGCTGAGGGGAGCAGCTGAGGGGAGCAGAGAGGTCTGCCACGCCATGTGGTCACCTCCGGGGCAGGCGGGAATCGAACTCATGTGAAAGCGGCTTTAGCTTCTCAGTGCTGTGCTTTAACCCGCTGGGCCACCAGGAGGGCCCCAACAAATAGGCATTGTTAAATGCCACTAATTTGTGATAATCTGTTATGTAGCAACAGAAAACTAAATACACCATCACTGACTTCCTAAGAGATTTCACCTCCTATTCTACCACAGAAACTATTATCAACATTGAATGGATGATATTTTTTCTTTTACCCAATAGATACTTCAATCCCTCCTCTTTTCTGATTCCTCCAGAGCATCTCACATTTCCAATTCCTCCCTTCTTTACTATCACCTCCATTTCATTATTCTCTCCTGGTACATTTCCTATTTCTTGATGAGACCTTTTACATTCCTTGTTTTTTTCCCACCCTCTTTTTTTTTTAACTTTTTATAAATTTTTACATCATTATAGTCCCGAAAGTTGCCCCCCACACACTATATCACCTGTGAGACACCCCCCATACTCCCTTGACTTATACTTTAAAATTTTAAATTGGTGATTTTTGAAACTAACTTTTCCATTAATATGCCACTTCAATGAACAAAATTTCAACCCAATGATTTCTTCATTTGACAGGTATGTTTCCTTTTCCTTGCAAATTTTATTGATTTGCCACTCATTTACATATCTAGATTGACTATGTCAAGATAATAGTCAACGCAAAGAATAAAGTGTTTAATAAAAATGGATTTAACATGGACTATTTAAGGACGTTACACTCTGCTAGGCAAAGATAAGGCATGTATCTAGGCATTTATAAATCATGCTGGAGTATGACTATAAAGGATATATGGAAAAAGTTATCAGAATTATTTTGAGCAGAGTTGGCCTTCTCTGAGGGAACTAAAGCAGACTTCATGAAGGAGTCAATAACTGAACAAAGCCATCAGGATGCAAATTTCTAATTATCTGCCCTTTTTACATGATTTTTTTAAGCCTTGCCTATGTACAAGACTCTGTACTGCACACTAGAGATGCAGAAAGAAGCACAGACAGACCTTGAGTTTGGGTTGTTCTCAGTCTAATGAGGAAAAAAAAAATCAATTATTACAACCTGTAGTAAAGATTTTGTACAAAAGCTATAAAATTAAAAGGAAATGACAAAGATAGAAGAAGCAACTTGTTTTTCTCCAAAGAGACTATCTCAAGGAAAATGTGCTACTTAAAATGAACTGAGACTATCAACTAACCTAGACCAAAATGGTGGTGAGTTTGGGAAAGAAAAAGGCATTACACACCGAGAATCGAGCTAAATGATAGAAATATTAAATGTGTACTCTTGTGATAATTCAAGAGAACTGATGAAATAAGTTACAAAATATGCATAGAAAATAATACTTAGTTATGAAAAGGTTAAAAGTCAGAATGAGAACTCAAGACATTTCTAAGAATAGTTTAATGAAGTATTCCTAACTGATAATGCTATTTAAAGACAATTCTATCCAGGGATTCATTTTTACCAGGTTGAAAAGAAACTTTTTAATTAACTGCATTGCTGATAGAAAACTCAATGTTGAAACCAAGTCATCCAATCATGGAGTATTCTTCAGAACATTTGTTTCTACTACTGACTACATTAAACTTGTCAAAGTGTTTTCTTTGGAGGTTCTCTGGTCATTCCTTTTAGTTTATATTTGTGGATAACAGCCATTATTTTATTTCATCTTATTTATATTTCATGTTGATCTATTATTAATCACTCAAATGAATTATTAGAGGAAATGGCAACAGAAACAATGGCTATTCCCAAACATGTCAGGATCCAGTGTCTCTTCAGCGATAGTCATAACTTCAAGGTGCTAATCATAAATAGGTTGAAACCTTCCTATTCAGTTGGAGTTTTGAAGACACAAGCTATGACACACTTCTAAAGAATCTGTTTTGGAAAAAAAATTGAAACTGGATGTTCAATTTCAGTTTGCCTTTCATATATTTGGTCACATGAACATATAAGAAATGGTTAATTCAGGGGGTAGACCTATCAACTGAAGAAAAGCAAATAAAACTCATTATCTTTCTTCATAGTTGGTTTTTTTACACCTACATGTCTTCTTTCAACGGTGTCACATCAAACAATCTTGTCCTAAATATGGAAACTTGGCATCTTCTTAGCTATTCCATCATCTTTCCTGAGACAAGAAAGAAATGTCCAAGCTTATCACTGCTTGCTAATAATACCTTTAATTATAGGTTTAGAATACTCAAAAAAAGCACAAAGAATAAATTTCAAGAATAAAAAAGTGTTTCAGTCCAGTAGACCTGGATGGAGGCACCAATTTCATATTGCTAAAAAGCAATATGAAGATATCAATGTTTGAAGATGGTACACATACAGCATCAAGAAACCAGGAAAGACTGAAGAAGTAAAGATGGTATGGGATGTCTCCACAACCTTGCATGTCCTAATGGCACCAAAAGGTCAACTCACCAACACTAATGTTTTGCCAACCATTTGAAACACTTGAAAACACTAAACAACTGTTGGCATTGACTCATATTTACCGTCAAAAAGAGATCCACATTCACTATCCACCTCCCAAACCAGCTATTTCATTCTTAAAATACTTCATAAACCTTGTCAAAGTCATCTCATAACTTTTTTTACAACACCTAGTCAATGGCAAAATCTTCTTTTTTCCTTCAAAACCCTTATTTTCCCCCTCCCTCTCCATCACAGATATGGGTCTCTTCCTACCACACACAAGGCTTACAACCTTCAAAGAACCATAAGCCATACTAGTAGATTTTATGGAAAGATCTTCTGATTTCAGAGGTCAGTCCTACCCTGGTGACTTCTCAGATGATAATAGCTATTCTCCTTAAGACATGCAGGGGAAAAGTATTATTTTCATTACATACTATTATTTCCCTGTGTATTTGTTTACTAGTTTGAAAGCAACTATCTAATATCCTATTGGTATCATTTCACTGGATCCTTCTCATATCTGAAATGTGCTTCTTGATCTAGCTCAGCACTCTCCTTAGAAACTCCCAACATTAACTTTTGCCAAGAATGATTCAAAAGAATGAGGTAATATCTCTCCAATTCCACTCATTAAATTATTTACTTGTTTCTTTAGCCAGCTCACAGTATAACTGTACAATCCTTTTTGTCTTATGAGTGTATTCTATATATACACTGTGATGATTTATGATCTTGTCATTTTGGTTTAACACCTTTTTCTTTTTCTTTTTTTTTTTTTTTGGAGAGTTTTTGTATCCCTTGAACAGGAAATCCTTTTCAGACAGTCTATGACACAAATCAGGTTAACTATTATTTTCTCCTATGACCAGAGCAAAAACTTACCTGTCCATGCTTTTTCTGAGGGGACATCCCAGGAGTAATTTCAGGATGTGATGGGGCCTGGTGGCCTGTGCCCCGAGTTTTGGGGCGAACCACATCAGAAGCAAAACTGGAGGAGATTGCCAGAGACTTGGGACGAGTAGCTGTAGTGCCCATCCCCACTGGGGGACTTTGTTCAACTTTCTTTGTTGTAGCTTCATCTTCCCCTTCAGAGTCCACAATAAAGACATATTCAGCTTTGAAGAGGTCACTTTGCTGCATTCCTTGAGATCTGTTTGCTTTGAGACCCCTTTCTTGTGAAATCTTTCTACTGACCTCTGAAGGATAAGTCAATGTTCCTCTGTCTCTCTCTGGTTGACTCCCGGCATTCAAAGTCAAGTACTCATTGGCATTAGACTGAAATAAATGTAAAGACATATGAACATTGATATAGTAGTGATAAATGCTTCTTATTCCCATGTACACACAGAAAGTTAACCTGCTTAAATATATAGATTTAATGCAATCCCAATAAAAACAACAGCATATTTCAAAGAACTGGAGCAAATACTACTGAAATGCATGTGGATTCACAAAACACTGAATAGCAAACACAATCTTGACAAAGAGGAAAGAAAATGGTGGTATACTTCCAGGCCTCAAGCTGTATTATAAATCCACAAGAATTAAAACAGTCTTATACTAGAATAATGACAGACATAAAAACCAATGGAAAAGATAGAAAGTCCAGAAATAAACTAACATATTTATGAAATAGTAAATCTATGATAAAGGAGAAAAAGCATACATTGGAATAAGCCTCTTCAATATATGGTGATATGAAAACTGGATAGTAGCATGCATAAGAGACTATAGCATAGTCTCACAACATACACCAAAATCAACTCAAAATACATCAGACTTGGATGTAAAAAACTGAAACAATAAAATACATAGAAGAAAACACAGGCAAACATTTCATGGCACAAGCTTTAGTGATGCCTTAGGAATTTATCCCTAATGGCAAGGAAAACAGAAAAGAACCAGAATAGCTGGATCTACATCAACCTAAAAAACTTCTTTACAATGAATGAAACCATAACTGTAAGTGAAAAGACACTCTACAGAATGGAAGAAAATGTGTGCACACCATACATCTGACAATGAACTGATAAGAAAAATATACAAAGATGACACTATGATTATTTTCTTCTCTTAAGTCTAAAATTGCTCTGAAATAGAAGATTAAGAAGACACTAAAGAGAAAATTTCAGCTATGGTAGTCAATTTAATGTTTGCTAGTGTGTGTGTGTGTGTGTGTGTGTGTGTGTGTATGATATGTATATGTAGACATCAAACCACTGATCAGCTATAACTAAACTAAGGAGTGGAATTTATATCCACTGATGATGCTCCAAATAAGATAAAACACAAATTGCCTCTGATTGGAATCTAACAGTGATCATTTCACATAATAAATTACAAAACTATACAGTAACAATAATCCAACTTGGAGAAAAATTTAAATTAAAAGAAAAGGATTTAAAGTCAGATTGCATATTAGGTCAAGTAACAAAATTAATAAACTGAACTTAATTTTAGAAATATTTATTAATTATTTAAAACAGTCCCTTTCCCGACCCTCCCTGTTTGCGCAGCTGGTTAAAGCACAGCACTGAGAAGCTTAAGCCACTTCCGCATGAGTTCGATTCCCGCCTGCCCCAGAGGAGATCCACATGGCATGGCAGACCTCTCCTGACCCGCCCGCTGCTCCCCTCAGCAGTGTGCTTCCTTGATCTTCCTGTTCTGCTCCCCTCTCTGTCTCTGGTGAATCCTCTCATCCTCCGCATCTCCGTTCTGTACCCCAGCTCTATATGAATAAATAAATAAATCTTTAAAAAAAAAGTCCCTTTCCCTTATAATCTACCATTCACTATTCCATTATTTTAATGTATTTCTTTATAGCATTTATCACTATCTAAGATTCCACTTATACTTTTCAGTTTTTTTTTTGACAGCCTCCCCAAAAGCAACTTATATGATTTAAATTTATTTACTCAGAATCCAAAGCACTGAATACAGTTTACTCAACAAATTATTGACAAATATATAAATGAATAAGGAATTCTTTACCATTTCTATTTTTATAGCAAACTGTTTTTAAAAAAAGAAAGGAAAATCTTTAATCTTTCAGATGTAGCTGTGAGTATATCATAGCAATCAGCAAATGAATGTCTTTATCGTAAGATATTTTGGGTGTTTGCAACCAAGAATGATTCACTCATCTACTGTCCCAAATACTGAGAGTACCTATGAACAATGGATCCCATTAATGTTGATGTATGTAGTTGAGTAGTATTAGGGAAAAAACTTCCTGTAAGTGCCTTATTTAGTAATTCAGGATTTCTCTGAAATAATTTGGCCCCACTAATCTTTGAAATTACTTAAAAGCATTGAATAATCTTAGGATGACACATATATTAATTATCACTTGCTAGATAAGATGTGTTCATATAAACAAGGTGAATCAGATTACTTGATCCCCTTTTAGATGCTTCAAAAATAGCACAAAGTTCCCCTAAATCACATTTTATTTATCATAAGACAGTATTAAAACATCTATTACAATTTTATTTTTAAATTTATTTTCACTGAGGTGTAATACTTGACATCCCCATCAGGTCCAGTTTATCCACCATCAAATTACCTAAAGCCCACCACCACAGTCCTTGTGCTCCTTCCCTCTTTGTTCTTATCTCTCCCATTTCATTTGCCCTCTCTAAGTGCTTAAGAAGAAAATATTTTGCTAAATGTCATTATTCTAGCACCAGTCAATTTCAGGTTTGTTACTTATTTATTTTAATTTTATTTCTTGTCTTCCTCATCTTAAGGAGGCATAAGAAGAGACAAATATAATTTTACAACCTCTTTTATCACTCAACATTTTAAGGTTAACACTGTCAGGAATTATATAATTACTATAATTACAGCTTTGTTGATGTGGTGCATTATTCTTATCTTTTCTCTTATTTTAAGTTACTTGGTTGTGTTTATTTTCCCCTAAATACTTTCCTGTATACAAGTTTTCTTCTTTTGCAATATTCCCTTGGGATACTGTTCTAAGAGTTAGTATAAAGAGTTTTACGATTGCAGATAATGGCTTTCTATTAAAATTATACAAATTCACAAACCAGTAGCAAACTGTAAGCATGCCTAATACTTGGAATCTCCCTAATATTTGGGTATTACATGTTTTTAACACTGCTAATACTACATTCAAAATTATAACATCTCACTGTTTTATGTTTTTGTTCAAGATAAACTAAAATACGAAAAGCAAAATTTTGAAAAATTTAAAGATACATTTGGGAGAAGGGGAGAAGCCAAGAGATAGAATGTGTCATGTGAATAGCAAAAAATCAGATGCCAACTCAAAAGATTAAGGCAATGTATTAGAGAGAACTTGAGACTTGATAACATTTAGATTCATTATCATATCGTAATTTTTTTAAAGATTTATTTATTTATGCATACAGAACTAGGGTGCAGACCAGAGATGCAGGGGCAGTGAGAGGATTCACCAGAGACAAGAATGGGGAGCAGAACAGGCCAAATGATGAAGTACACTGCTGAGGGGAGTAGCAGGCAGGTCAGGAGAGGTCTGCCGTGCAATGTAGTCCACCTCCAGGGTGGGGATCGAAGTCATGCTGAAGTGGCTTTAGCTTCTTAGTGCTGCATTCTAACCCGTTGCACTACCAGGGAGGGCCCACATCATGATATTTTTTTCTTTTTTTTTTATTTGTACATACAGAACTGGGGTACAGGCCAGAGGCTCAGGGGAGGTGGGAGGCTTCACCAGAGACAGAGTGGGGAGGAGAACAGGCAGATCGATGAGGGGAGCAGCGGGCGGGCCACATGAGAGGTCTGCCTCGCCATGTGATCACCTCTGGGGCAAGCAGGGATCGAAGTCATGCGGAAGTGGCTTTAGCTTCTCAGTGCAGTGCCTTAACCCGCTGCGCCACCAGGGAAGGCCAATATTTTTAATCAACATTAGATTTCAATCATCTCACTTTTGGCAGAGGAAATAAACATTCATACACATTTCTGAATAATTATTTATGGATAATTTAATATTAATGGCTTGATAGAAAAAAAAAGAATGAAAATAATCCTACCCTATTTACAGTTTCTGGATTCTTATCACTTGGTTCCTCAGGAATTTTAACAAGGAATTTAGAGGTGTCAGTCAACTGAGATTGGGTTGGTAGTCTTCTGACAGTGGGGACAAATGTGAAGATCAGAGGTTTGGCTTCAGAATCACCAGAAGAGACCTATGAGACATGTAATAAATTAGATGTTCAGTCTTGTCAAAGGTTTATCTTCACTCTATATAACATGATGTTTATCTCATTTATTTGATAAATTGCCTATCAGACAGTCATCATGTGTATGATTGCCAAAGAAAACAGCTAAAAATAGAGTCCCAGTGTATCCCTTTTTTATAATATCATAATATCAGACCAAGCAATTCAGCCCCAGGAAGATCCTGTTGTAGAGGGCAGCAGTGAAACAGCAGGGCCACGTACTGATCTGCTGGAATATTACCTGTCATCTCGACCGCAGTAGGCCCATCACAAACACAGCATCTGGTCTGTTTCAGAATTGACTTTTATCCATTTAACCCCAGATTGGGAGGTTCAATTTGACTCATATTTCTCAACCAAGCAAGCAACTTGCAATATGTATCATTAAAGAGAATGCTAAACTCTGAATTTAAATTGAAAGTATGCTTTACTGGCTATTAGGATACTCACACCTGCTCTCAAGGATATAACTTTTTCTCCGATCATTTTTTCTTCATTCAAAACTAATTTTAAGTATTGGCTGAGTGGCAGGTACTCAGGAGCTTGTGATACAATGACAAATAGGAAAGAATCAATGGGCCACTTACAAGTAGGAAAAGGGTATGCACAGTATACTAACAGAAAAGTGATGAGGGCAGGTTTGGCTTCCCAACTTGGAAAGTGCTATGAAAGACAACACGTAACATGTTAAGTCTCTGAAAAAACAGGATATCACAGACTGGGAAAACCAGAGTAAAAGCATGGGGAAAAGCAGCAATGGGAGCTAGATAAAGCATGGATTTTTGTCTAATTAACAACAGAGAATTATTAAAGCACTCTCCATTGGTAATTATCATAGTCGCAGTAGAATTTTAGACAGATAATTCTGGATTTAATGACATAAGACTAGAGATAAGGTCAGAAAGCCAAGAGCAATCATTTAGGACTAAATGGGAAAGGAGAAAAAGAAGATGGTACTGCTGCAGATTTTCTTTCAAGTTTGAAGGAGATATAAGAAGAAAGGTTAAGAGTAGTTAGAGAGGAGCAGAGTCAAAGCAATTCCTTAATTGTTGGTGCTATGGGGAAGAGTCAAACGTAACTGCAGACTCAGGAAAAGAACCACTAGAGAGAAAAGGTCTAGAGAAAGCAGGCAGAATAAATTAAAGGAACAAGACAAGGAACATGGCCTCCTTTTAGACCAGAGAAAATTAACTAAGACAAAGAAAAGCTTATGAATATGACAGAGTGGGGGAAAGGTGAGGGTTAATTAGACTTACACCACCCTCTATCCACTCCATACCTCTGTCACAGGAAATACAACGGGTCCTAGCAACATGCCATTGGCACTCTCTTGTCTGCTTGGCTACCTGTCTATGCTTTTGATCGCTAAGGCCTGACTGTGGCATGCCCTTTCTCCTGGTCATGTCAGTCCTTACAAGAAACGTAGGTCACTGAGTCATCTTTCAATATCTCTATCCTATGCACATGCTTATTTTTCCCCAACGTATACCCAGTTCCAATTCTTGAAACCTTTCCGTTTTACACTTTCTGGGATTCAGTCAAACATGCCACAACTCCTTAACCTCTTCTATAAATATTTTTCATGTAACTAAATCTGGTTCCTCTGAAGGACTTCACCTCACAAGAATCTGTCTCAGTGATCACTGTATTATCTCACATTGGAAGTTGGCCTGAAACAGAAGTGCCTTCTTTCTTCCTGCTTCCAAACCATTCTTCCCTCTTATCTAAAAACTTCTAGTTCTAATTCTCATGTCATCACTTTACAGCACCTCATAACTCTCCTTGTCACAGTTGTCCGTTCTTTCTTTAAAGTTCCATTCTCACTTCTTTTTACTCTCCCTAACACTATGCTTTCTATGAGTGCCCGACATAATGTCCCACAAACAGACACTATTGTGTTTTTTGACTTCTCCTCTTGACCTTGCCTCTCACATTTCTAGTTTAGACTAATGGTGACATCCCCTCCATAATTAAAGCTTTTTCCTTCTTTCGTACCTCTTTTTTTCTATAACACTCCCTCTAGGGCTCCAGCTCCAACATTTCACAGACCCCACCTTCATAAAATCTCTAAAATCCTTCCAATATTATGTTTTCCCATGCTTCTTTATTTTCATCAGTATCAGTAACTGAGTTGACCACAATTACCCACATGCCTGCCCTTCAAATGCTTTGTCCTCTCTCATATAACTGCTCTCTGTGTAAGTCACAATTCTCAATAAATCTAACCCCTACCTACATCTGCAGAGGTAAATGTGACCAGGGGAGATCAATCATGCTTACTGGTTTAATTTCAAACATATGGCAGGCTTAAGCAGACCACTCAATACTGCTCATTGTCCCACCCACCTAGAACTTTTATGTCTTTTCCTCTAACTTCTTTTTCACTCTTATTCTGAGTTGAGGACCTTTTTCTCGTATCACTAAGATCATTGAAGTAATCAGAAGAGAATTTCTAAGACAACCATTATCATCTCTACTCATTCACCTTATCTTTATCATTTTAGGTGGTTCAGTCCTGCTACTATGCTTCTCCTAAAATGAGCTCTCATCTGAACTTGTTTATTTCACTTACTTTCATTGATTCAAAGTCTAATCAAAGACCTGCTGAGTGTCAGGCTCTAGTCAGCAGTGAATAAAAATCTCTACCTAATGGAATTCACATTTCAGTGGAAAGAAACATAATAACATGTTGAAATACAGTATTTTTAATAATGTTAAGTGTATGAGCACTAGCTATAAGATTATTGCAACAACCCAGAAGAGAGAACAGTAGGTAAAACAGGTTGTTACAGTAATAGTGACAGTGTTAAGATTGTGGCTATACTGTAAAGGAAAAAAAGATCTTGTCGAAAAATTAGATGTAACATATGAGAGACAACAGTCAAGAGTAACATAATTTTTTTGACCTGAGTGAGTGCAAGAAATGAAATATTATTTGCTAAAGTGGGAAAACCACACGTAAACCTGGTTTGAGACTAAAAATAAAATTTGACATGCCAAATAGATATTTAAGTGGAAATATGGATATGGAGTTAAGTTTACAGAATAGTTAGTACTGAAGATAAAATTATTAGAATTGTTAACCTATGCTTTATATTTTAACCATGACAAAATAAGATCACCAAGGAGATTAAGCACAACTGAAAAGAAAAGGGGCCCAACTGAACCCTTCAAATGCTAACATTAAGTGGTCCAGTAACTCATGAAGAAGTAGTAAAGGTGACATGGGACTTCAAGGAATACAGACAAACCTAGAGCATAACTAACAGCAATAGGAAAGAAGTCTGATCATAAACAAGCAACAGGATTGACAGACTTGTAACACTGAGGCCCAGTGCAAGTGTAAATCCATGAATTTATAGTGAAACCTTTGGTTATTTGATATACTCTTCAGGAATGCTCAACTTCCTATCTAAGACCTGGGAAAGTGAATTGCAGCATTTATAGAACTGATATTTGGATATCATTTTTACAGTGATTATACCAGGAAATTGAGGCTAACTGATGAGAGTAGCGCAGATTGTCAGCCATGGAGTTCAGTCTGGATAGGTGAGGGATAGGAACTTTCAAATGCAAGGCACCCGCTGTCTCCAGATTTGATAGCCTGAAGAGTGCTTAAGAAAAGAGCTTAGGGTCTTCTCATATGGTATGTGAGAATTTGGGATTAGAAGTTTGGTAATTCTAGATAATTATAAGGTGTAGTTTTGGCCTTGAGTTGAGAAGCTGAGATGAAAAAAGAAGGACCCTGAGTTTGTGAAAGTCAAAGAAAGTGAGGTAAGAATATTAACAGGGCCATCCTTACCAAAAGGGGAAAAAAAAAAATAGAAAGCCATGCTGGGTGAGAAAATGGTTGCTCTGGAGAGACACTGATAGCAACATCATTAAATGGATATTTTCTTTGTGCACACAAAATCAAAGAGAACTATATTTCATTGAAGAGATTTCATCCAAATCATAGAACCTGAAAAACTAACTTTGGACCACCACTTATGTTAGTAACTAGGAAAAATTAAAACAGCTATACCTTCTAGAAACAATGCATATGTAATACTGAATATGTGTTTTATATATGCATATATATATTTGTATAAAATATACAAACTCTTCAAGTCCACTAATTTTTTAACATTCTCTTTTGTTTATAGATAATGCATCTCCCCTCTGTAGTCAAGTCGTAATTCCCAGGTTGGCAAACCAGTCCCATCAGCAATATACAACACAACATATATTCTATCCTCTAGGGAGATTTCTTTACATGGATGACCTCTTTAATATCACGATGGGTAGAAAATGGTTCTAGCAACAAATCATTGAGAGCACTTTGGATGTAAAACTCTAGAATTCTATAGTATAGAATAGTACAGTATTTCACTTGGGTCAGAAATTATAATTATTTCAAAGAAGAGGTAAAATTAAATCTCATGGCAGTTTCCACAGGCCTGCTCCCATCTCCCCACATGATAACTACAGATTTTAGATTCTCTTGAAATGAAATTTATACATGTAAGATTTGAGCATAAATGCCCCATGGTAATGAAATACATATACCTATCATTAGAGGTGGTGAATTTGCTTTCTAAAGTAAATAGAATAATAAAGTTCTGCTTCTGTAAAAGCCTTGTACAATTTATAGAACTTAATAGAACTTTCATCTCTAAAATACAAACAGGTTTCCACTACTGACATATTGTTAACTATAACTTTTTTTTAAAGGTTAAGAACTATAATTTTAGAGAATAAAGTAGAAATTAAGTTTGATTGAAAGCTGATACACACAGTGAATATGTGCTTTTATAACTATGTTCTCAAAGAAAAAAATATTTATTTAGAAAAAATTCTAAATATTATGCCATCTGGACAAGAATAGCAACTGAAAATAAGTAATATGATTTCCTAGTTCATTGTTAGATTTTCCCACAGAAACATCCATATCCTACAGAAAATTTCCTCAGTATTAGGACAATTTTTATTTTATTTAGTTGAACCAATACATTCCGGTAACATTAAACAGACGATCTGATAGGACTAAATATTTATTCATCTTCAAAAACTCCTCTTAGAGATCAAGAGCAGGGACAAATTCCTGTCCACACATATACCCCCAGAACAAGAACCACAAACCAGGCAATGGTTCAGCATTTGCTTTTAAGCTGGCAGTATAGCCTTAACATCGGCTCTTTTCATCACCTTTTCCTAGCATACTTTTATCATAACCACGGTTGTGCCGATTTTTTTTCTTGTTTTTTCTTTTTCTTTTTTTTTTTTGCACATAATGCCATTTGGAAAAAGACTTGAAATTTACAGTAGCTACACTGTGCAGTATTTTTGAAGAGCCACGTGTTATCCAACAGACTGCTGAATCCCTTGTTTCACACGGAGAATAAAGAATTACTGCATGTTTGTTCCAGAGGCACCCAGAATGAATTGCTATGGTGATGAAAAATCATTTTCCACAAAGCAGAAACAGATACATGTTAATACCATTGCATTTGTTAAATGCCAATTAACACTTTCAGTTGTCGACACCGTTTAAAAACACATCTTAGTTTTTATCCTTTGGAAACTATTTTAACCATAGAAATTGCACTTTTTAAGATATGAATATGGTTTCAAATGCGCAAAACCTCTGAGACTGTCACATTTTCACCGGACAGCTGAATGATAATTTTTAAAAATGGGTTTCCCCTATATCATGCAGGCTACAGCTCTCTTGCTCGGTTTGGGGCTGCAATGCCTTCGTTCTCCTATTTCCCTAAAAGTTCTTTTCCGATGTTGACACCCACGTTTGCAGATGGCCACTGGCCTCCTGTTGAGAAGAGGCATTGCAGGGTGTCTTAGTATTAACACTATACTAAGAACAGTCCTGGGCATTTTCTTTGGTTTTCTAGGAGGCAGTTTTGCCTTTATCTGCTCACCCTTTCCACTAACAGTAGACAACATTGCATTTTGAAATACAGTTAAATATATCTACACCCGGGCGGCTCTCCCTCCAAGCCCTCTTACAGCCAACACCACAGTGCACAGCCTTAAAAGTTGTTGAAAGCATTAAGCAAAGACTTCCTTTTACCTGGGGTGTGGTCTGAGAGCTTCCTGCTAAGATGCACGAGTTCATTTGGAAGTAATTGTTCCCGCAGTCACTCGGAAGCCCCCGTTCTGAAAGCATTGATTCATCACACAAGGGAGTGAGCAAACCAATGACTGAGGTGGGAAGGGAGCTTCTCACTAAAACAACACACACACACTCACCCACCAAAAAAAAAAAAAAATTCTAAAAAGAGGTAAAGTGGAATCCTCCCTGAGTTAAAACTGTTGTCAGCTCTAAAGAGCAGATTTATGTTTTGACGATTTTTAGACTTGGAACTTTATAAGAGGTCATATTGACTACTGAAATGGAGCCAGTAAAAATTGAAAAAATATGCAACCTATATGTGTTTGTCCTCTTTTCTTTTCACGCATATATTCCGATTATATATTCTGGGAATAGAAGAAACGAGCCAGATTGTGAGCTGAGAGAAGGCTGATTGAAGGGCCCAAGCATCTGTCAATCTCAGTGATCAGTTGGTCACACCCGCAGAGAACATTTAGAGATAGAATTACTTGCAAACACTGTGTCTAAATAAAGAACTGGAAACCACAGTGATATTTAAAAAAATCAATAACTCTAATTTTTGGTCCTTGGCATATAAATAGCAAGTAATGATACAGGAGCATCTGTAGTGACTGAAGTTTTGCTATTAAACAAATTAGCTCCAGATTAAAGCTTGGAATCAAATAGTTCTCAAAACAAATTTTATTCCAAGGTTCTTGGAAGACAGCAAGTGGCCTGACTATAGAGAAATAAAACCCCAACACTTCACACATGACATTGATAGAAGTCTTCAGCTTTTTGTGTCTCTATTTCCTAAGTATTAATTTTTTTTCCCAAATCTGTAGTATCTATATTTGTGTTTTGATAATGAAAGATGTTCTATCTATCTATAATGAAAGACTGGTTATAAACCAAAGGCTTTTCCAAAAAGAAAGAATGCTTGATTTTAGGGATCTAGAAGATGCCTCTTAATATTCTCAGGATTTCAAAAGCCTGAAAATATGAAAATAAAATAATTGTAAAAGGTGCCTCTATTAGCATACATTTCCAACAAACTATACCAAACAAACTATTCCAAATAACAATACTTTTGACCTAGAAATGATTAAAATTTCTGAATATAAGTTCTATGTTATATCACAAAACAAATTATGTGACTTATGTTTACCTAAAAAAACAAACAAACAAAAAAAAACCGTCCTTTAGTTAGAGCTTACAATCTAATTGAAAATATAAAAATAGGTCTGTACACAGAGATGCATTCATTCATGATAGAGACATAACACAAGAAAGAAAAGTCCAATAATGCAGTTCTCAAACTTTATACCTAAGCTACCTGGAGATCTTATTTAAATGCAGCTTCTCATTGAGGAGACTGGGTCAGAGATTCAAATTCACATTTCCAACAAGCTTCCCTGGGGATGCCTTGTTTCTGGGCTGTGACACTTTGGATAGCAAATACTTTGAAGAATTTTTGGAGAGTAGTGAGACCATAGCCACCTGGAGTAATTCAAGGGATAAGTGGCATATGGGTTGCCCTTAGAAGGGTGGAGGATGGGACCCTGTGAAGGTGGAATAGAAAGCGCTCATTTCAAGAAGGGAGAAAAGCCTGAAAGGCGGCAGCCATCAGGATAGCAGGTGTGCATGTAAAGGGTGGGCCCTGGAGTCAGACTGCTCAAGAGCTCTGGGACCTAAGGGGAGTTAGTGAGCCTTTCAAAGACAATCCTCTCTCTGTGAAATGTGCATGGGAGTAGTACTTATTCCATTAGGTTCATATGAGAATTGCAGTTAAAATCAGTGTGTAAATGCAATTCCATGTCATACAAATGTTTAATATTTGAAAAATAATATAGATGAAGAAAAAAAGGGAGTAAGACTAGAAAAGCAGGTCTGATTCACCAAAAACTTTGAATTGAAGTATTTCTTGATGTTATTCACTGGGGAACAGAAATGGAATGTATGTGTGTGTGTGTATATATATATGGAATATATATAATGTATATATGTGTATATACATATACACACACACATATATACATTATATATATTCCATATATATATACATATGTGTGTATATATATATATATATATTCCATATATTCCATATATATATATATATACACACACATATATATATTATATATATATTATATATATATATACATATGTGTGTATATATATATATATATATATATATATATTCCATATATTCCATATATATACACACATATATACACACACACATACTCTCCAGATACCAAAGGGTAGCATAAAGGTGTCCTAGAGACCATTCATCTCAAAGTTCTAGAGTATAACCTCCTGAGGGAAATGAAAATCAGGTCTCTGTCAATGGTTCAATAAGTTTTATTACTCTGCATGGATTTAAACAACTATGGGTCTCTTCTCTTCCTGTATCTTGCTAGGTCCCTCTCTCACTGATATTTTCTTTCTCCCATTACATTCCCCAAACATAAAGCATATTTATATATGTTGGTACAAACATGGCAAAGCAAATATGATTCTTCCTGGAGTTATTTTACCAAATTATAAATTAACCCATTCTTTTATGATTTTGCCTATTTTCTTTGTTTCATATTGGCAAAATTTTCCTTCTCTTATTTTATTAATAATTGCCTTATAGGCTGCACTTTATATTGATAGAAGTAATAATTTTTAACTTTTAAAAAATTACACATGTATGTTGTCACCAATTCTATTTAACTAAGTACTAGAGATTTTAGCTAGAGGTATCAAACAGGAAGCAAAAAAATCCAAGTTGGAAAAAAAGTGAGTCTATCCACATTCACAGATGACATGTAGTATATATAGAAAAATCCTAAACACTACATCAGAGTTATTAGGAATAATTTTAAAAAATGGAAACTAGCAGGTTATGAAATCAACATTAAAAAAAAAAAAACCACAGGATTTTATATACCAGAAAAAAAGAAGTGAAAGAAATCAAGACAATTACCCCATTTATAATTGCTTTGAAAAAAATTAAATGTCTCATAATAGGCCTGGGGATGTTAAAAACCCTATACAACTCAGATGTTACTGATGGAATGAGCAACATAAGAGATGGAAGAATAGCTTATGCTTATTACGAATGGGAACAATCAATATGACTATCCTAATCGAAATGATATATAAATTTAATATAATCTCCATCAAAGTATCAGCAATATTCTTCAAATAAATAAAATAAAAAATGTTGAAATTTAAATGGAACCACAAACCACAAAAGAATTCAAATTGCAAAAGCCAACCCCAAGGAAAGGAAAAACAGAGGTCTTGTATGACCTGACTTCATGCTTTACTACAAAGCAACAGTAATCAAAACAATGTGGTATCACCATAGAAATGGCTATATGCATCAATGGAATAGAATCAAAAGCCCAAAAACAAATCCATATATATGGATTAGCCAGGACCCAATCTATAATAATGCAGCTATGATTAAAATGAGGAAATGACAGTGTATTTAATAAATGGTGCTGGAAAATTCAGATGCCACATACAATAGAATAAAGTTGGATCCTTCCTTAACCCCACATACAAAGATAAACTCCAAGTGAACTAAATTTTAGATATAAGAACTACAGCATTAGATATATAATAATTTACTTGTTGAAAGGTAATACATGCTTCTCAACAAAAGTGAAATATATAATACTATACAAAATTTTGCATTTATATTTATTTTGCATAAGCAAAATACAAATGTTAAGTGCAAATATTACTGAGCATATATATCTATACATAGACACATATTCTCTATAACCAAACAAAAAGTGGCTCTGTATCTTCTTTTCACTTAGTGAACTATATTTAAAATAAAAAGGGAAGGCTAATTTCTTTTAAAATAACTCATAATAAATCAATAAAAATTAAAAACAGAAACCTAATGACCATGCAGTGCAACAGCATGCTTCAGCCATCTGGTTAGTAACTACATCTAGCCTCAAAGAACACATGTATTTAGAACAATTTCTATAGAAACCACCCTCATTTGAATAAAAAAATGATGGCACCAGATCACAAAAATAGTTACCTACACAGGACTGGAATAGGGAGGAGGGGAGAAATTATCCTTCCATTACAACCACTTTTCCTATACACAAAAAGATCACCTAGGGTTTGACCAAAGCCCTGAAATATTTTATGAACACAGACTTTGAAAGATTTATCTTCCATTTAGGAACACCAACTTCCCCGCTGAATTTTTTTTTTTAAAGATTTATTTATTTATGTATACAGAACTGGGGTATAAGCCAGAGGTGCAGGGTCAGTGAGAGGCTTCACCAGAGACAGACTGGGGAGCAGAATAGGCAGATCAATGAAGTACATTGCTGAGGGGAGCAGTGGGTGGGTCAGGAGGGGTCTGCCGTGCCATGTGGCTGCCACCATCTTGCAGCACTGCATCTTAGCCCTTGTGCCACCCAGGCTGCTTAATGTTTTTTTTTTTATTTTTTTAAAGATTTATTTATTTGTGCATACAGAACTGGGGTACAGGCCAGAGGCTCAGGGGCGGTGAGAGGCTTCACCAGAGACAGAGTGGGGAGCAGAACAGGCAGATCGACGAAGTACACTGCTGAGGGGAGCAGCGGGCGGGTCAGGAGAGGTCTGCCACGCCATGTGGTCACCTCCGGGGCAGGCGGGAATCGAACTCATGCGGAAGCGGCTTTAGATTCTCAGTGCTGTGCTTTAACCCGCTGCGCCACCAGGGAGAGCCCACCAGGCTGCTTAATTTTTATATCAAAAAGAAAATAAAGCTCAACAAAGTTTATAAAACACAGATACAATCCAAAATTCTCTTTAAAATCTATTGATGACAGAAGAAAGCACTCTAGACCCATGTTACTATACAGCTACTACTGCAATACCTTCCAGCCAAAAGACTCTTTTGTTCTTTTTAATATAAATAATATAGAACAAAAATTCTCTCTCTTCCTGACATGAAAAACAGGTTTGAGAAAAGAATTGAGTACATCTCAAAAGTTGGCCAGAAAACATGTAAGTAATTAAAGAGATCCAGCCGCCAGGGATATTTGGACCTCCACTTGTTTGTTCTTATGGTTCGTGTGTCATAGTAGAAT